GAACTGGCCTCCGTAGATCTCAATAATGTCTCAGTATCCACTGACTTGGACTTCCTCCTTCCTTCCCTCTCTCCCTCCCACCTTCTTCTCTCCTCTCCAATTAATATCACTACTGCTTATAATATCCAGCTCTGTTCTTTGTATAGCAAGATGGAAAAATGAAAGGGTTGAAGTTAGAGATGGATTCATCTTCCAGAAGGCTGAGGACTGGGGGAATAGGAAGGGATTAATTAGTAGCAATTAATATTTTTGTTTGCGGATGGAACACCCTCAACAGCTTTAATATAGGAAGAGTCTCAGAACTTCCAAGAGTTCCATTTTAGATGACCTTGATTTCTGGGCAAGTTCTGTCTCTCAAGTTTCACTTCTTTCCTGGATTTACTTAGAATATTTTTGTATACAATAAGCTCTTCAGTTATCCTCATGAGGATTTATTTTATTTGCTCCTTATTTATTCTTCATTTGTGGATTATTTCTAACTAGATTAGGAATCTATTAAGGTTAGTGATTTAACCTTATGTCTTTCCCTTTCTCCCAATACTTATAGGACAGAACACAAAATAGGACTCAGTAAGTTATTTACTGAAAATACATTTGTATTTTACTTTGAGACAGAGGAAAAATGCATTGTTTCTGTTTGAAATTTAGAAGTGCATTTCAATTGTTTCTTGAATAATATCAAGATAATTTCACTAAGCAGTCTCCATTATTTTGTATTATATTAAGGTTGATTTTCAATATTCATCACAAATTGATATGTTCTACTATGCTATAAAAAACTTAATGGTTGGCTTTTCAACAGAAGCAAATACGTAAAAGGATCATTTTGAAGGTTGGCTGTTTAGTTCCTTTACCCTTTTTTTTAATGTTTTTATGTATTTTTGAGAGAGAGAGAGAGCATGAGCAGGAGTGGGGGAGAGACAGAGAGTGGGTAACAGAAGACCAAAGTGGGCTCTGTGCTGACAGCAAGGAGCCCGACGCAGGGCTCCAACTCACAAACAGTGAGATCATGACCTGAGTCAAAGTCTGATGCTTAACGGACTGAGCCACCCAGGCGCCTGGATTCCTTTATCCTTTACATTATCTCTTTTCCTGTTATTCAGAAGTTTGAGATCCAGCCCATGGAAAGAAAAAAAATGGCTCCAGATTAATAGGCACCACAAAATAACATTGCAAATCTTTATAGATGTGTATGCAAGGAGGAGTGTTATACAGTGTGGAGAAAATTTGAGAAAGTGAAAAGTAGCATCTCTGAGAATAAAATCATTAGTTATGGTATTTGGGGGCATGTCTTTAAAAAATGCATTGGTAGTAATTTATACTTAAGATTGTGTACTCTGATAATAGTAACTTCCATTTATGTAGTTATTTAAATGCTTGGAGAGTGAAATGACCATTTCTGCATTTTCCCCCAAGGAAGCTAAAAGACAGTAATATTAAGTAATCTATTCAAACTTACATTGATAGTAATTAAGTAGATGAGGCTCTTACCTGGTTTTTGATACCAAGACCTTGGTCTTGAGACTCCATGCGCATAAAGCTTCAAGATAATTGTATTAACTTTCTCTAAGAGAAATCTCTAACTCCCAGTTCATTTTCTTTGGTCAAATGGACTTACTACTTATTAAACCTGAACTGTGAAGAGCTTCAATTAGTCCTCTCTTCTCTGACATTCACTGTGCCTTAAATGAAGTTTTATACATATATTCTTAGTTTTTATGGGTTATTGGCAGGCCATATTTTAATTCAATTTAGTTTAATTTAACTTATCATTACCCTAAAGTAGCTTCTTTTCTTTTCCTTTGCAACTCTTATTGATTTTTAGCAACATTAGTTGATGCTCATTATATGCAAAACATTTCCCTAAGTGACTTTTTAGGCATTATTCAGGAAATATCTCTAAACATTATCTTATAATTCAAAATTCTCTCAACAAAATTTTTAATAAATGACTACCATATCTCAGGTATTGTGCTAGCATCTGGAGATACAAAGAGATAAAACATCGTGGGGGTTCTTTCCAGTCAAAGAAAGGAGAGAGACAAGGCAGATAAGGATAAAAATATTACAGATATTATGATGCTGTGATCAGTAGATAATTCATGCTATGCCAGACATAGTTTTTGTCTGAGTAAATGGTAGTGAACAAAACTATTAGACAATAATCTCTTCCTTCACAGAGCTGACATTCTAACAGGAATATGTGGGGTCACAGCTGACTTCGATTTGGTGGTATTACTTTCTTATTTAAATAGACAAGTTCTAATTGGCATTAAAATGGCTATTAGGAATCAGCTATGTATACAAATGATTGAGTGAACATTGAAAATAAAGCTTCTTTTCAATTTGTAACCTTATACCCTTGAAGTGATGTATAGGGTGTGGTGTAGATGGCAGGTTTCCACTATCAGGGTTCTTTCTGGAACAAGAAAGTTCTCAAAGCTGTCAGTTCTCTACATCCTCACCACTAAGAAAGATAAATTCATTTAAAGCTAAATAAGGTAGAATGGTACAATTTGTCTCCCTTGATTCAGTAGTAATGTCTTCAATTCTGTAGTGTATGTTAGATCAGAACAGATTTTTCTTTCTTAAATGGAAGACTCTCAAGGATGTTGAACTTGTTTTTTCTGTTGTTCAGTCTTTCAATTCCAATGTAATCTAAATGTGCTTTTTTCGTCTTATTTTTTTTCCCTGTACAAAGATATTTCCTGTAAGTTCACCATACATTAACTTCAGTAAACCATCATATTTTAGGATAAATAGTATCTTTATAAAATGGCATTATTTTTATAATTGTGATTTAGGGTGCTAAATGTCCTCACTGAGCAAAACTTTCTCCTCTCACAACCTCAAGTTTTCTTGTGATATCTTGTGATATCAAGTAATTAATGAGTATATAATGTACTTTGAAAACATCCAAATGCCAAAACCTGTGAACTCCTACAAATGAGTTTATTCATGTTGTTAATTTCAGTGAACAGAAAGTTTACAAATGTGGCTATACTTTATAGCTCTCATGAAAACAACTTATCTCTACAGAATTTTCTTTTGCTACTGGATTTTTTTCCAAAAGTACGTTATTTAATCTCCTTTGTTTATTTAGTAAATAATTGCTGAGTGTAAGAACCATGCTCTCCTCTAAAGAAATTAGCATATGAAATAGTCCCCATCAAATGAAGGTGAAAGACAACAAAGATCACTGTATTGGGTTGGTAATTCTATGACAGACATATTTTATATATCAAGCTATAATTCTAACCTAGTTTTTCTTTTCTTACCACATCACCTCTCTACAGTACTTCTTAAACTTTAAAATGTGTGTAATAATCTGGGTAGCATGGAGATTCCTGGCTCTACTCCTAGAGAGATTTAGCAGGTGTAGGAATCTTCATTTTCATGAAGACCAGGTGTTTGGGGAGCTGGTAACACTTGAACTTCACTTGGAAAGAGTCCCTTTGTGATCTTTCCCTTTTGCCTGAAATTTTCCCAAGTGAAAGTCCCATATGGCCTCTTCATCTCTCCATCTGCTTACCTCAATGCCATGCTCTCAGGACAGCCAGTTTCAATTTATCAGGTCCATGTTCATTTCATCACCTTGACATGACATAATTCTCTGTATTGAGTTTCTGACCTTGCTGGAGTCTCCTGAGAACTAACACCACCACTAACTGTTGCCTCACCCAGAGACTGACTCAAATGGTGGGGAATATCAGGAAGAAGATGAGAAGAAAATGCACTTCTCATGGTACAATAAAGGAATGCTTTTTAAACAAGATGTTAAGTCACATCAGCTGGGAAATGCTTACCTATAGAAGAATATTTTTTATAACAATTTATAAGTATTAATCATTTAACCTTCATAAAAAAACCTATGAAGCAGATGTTTATTTTGTTCATTTTATAGATTAGGATGCTGAGGCTCAGTAACTTACCCCAACATCACACAGCTACTAAGTGGTATAGCAGGGATTTGAACTCAGGTAGTCTGGCTCCAGGGTCTGGTGGCCATTATCACTATACAAATTCTGTCTTACTCTTAGTTAAAGGAATGTCCTGTGTTTAGTAACACCATTCATATCAAAATGACTTCCAGTAAATTACACAAATAGAAACAAACTACAAAAAACAAAAATCATCCCCCAAGCAAAACAAGACAAATACTACATAGGATAGTATTTTCAAATCAAAGATGTATTTCAACTTCAAATTACAGGAAACTTTTAGAAAAGCAAAAAGAGCCCATAGATGCATAACAATATACAGGAACATATCTCTTGTTCTCAGAAGAGATAACTTTTTTTAAAAATCACTTTTCCCCCAGAAATATAGAATACTACATGAAGAGCGTGAATGTTTGAGTCAGAAAGATCAGGCTTCTAATTCTGGCCTGTCATTTACTTGCTTAATGAACTAGGACCATTTGCTCGTCTGAATTAACTCTCAGCTTCCATGAAATAGACATGACAATGCAAACTTTGGTGAATATTAAATGAGATAAATATGTCAAGTGCTCAATATCATGCCTGGAACATAGTAGCTGTCTCCCAATAACCAATACCTATTCACTAGTATTATTAGTAGTAGTAATTATTATTTTTTTAAGTTTATATATTTATTTTGTGAGAGAGGTGGGGAGGGGCAGAGAGAGAGGGAGAAAATCCCAAGCAGGCTGTGTGCTATCAGCACAGAGTCTGATGTGGGCTCTATCCCACAAACCCGTGAGATCATGACTTGAGCTAAAACCAAGAGTTGGATTCTTAACCAACTGAGCCACCTAGATGTCCCAATAGTAGTAATTATTATTAGTAATAGTAATGGTAGCAATAAATTTAATACTCTTCATAAAATATAATGTTTAGACAGAATATTTTTGGTGGAATTAATACATTATAAAAATTTAACTGATGTTGAATCTTCCTTTTTGACATCATGATTGCAAAGTGCTTATTTTGCTCCTTTGAGGATGTCTCTTCTGAGATGGACTCATTTATTTTCACCAGGTGATCAACCCTACACTCATCAACTGCTAGCCTTGGCGTCACGCCTGCGGGAGAGTGCTGAACTCTTCCAGTCAGATGAGATGCGTCCTGCTAATGATCCCAAGGAGAGAATTCCAATCCGTGTCCGAATGCTGAATGACATACTCCAAGACATGGAGAAAAGCTTCCTGGTAGAGCAAGTGCCACCAGGTTTTTATAGGTAAGATATGTGTTTATCATCTATATGTTTATGCCCCTCAATTAAATTTTTGTTTAACTTTCAGAACATGTACCTTCTGTGAACTGACACTATTTTTTAATGTAGTTATTATATGTAGTTATATGAGTAATTATCATATGTGCAATTTCAGGACCATTCTCCCCCAAATAACGTTTCGACTGTATGAGCATAGAATAAAGGAGATTGGTTCAGCAGTATCACATAGAAAATGACTAAGAATTTTTTTGACATTAAGCTCAGTATGAGTCAGATATGATATGGCTATTATAAAACCAAATGGAATTATAGGTTGTGTTGGGAAAAATAAATGTTTTGAATGAATCAGAAGATAAGCCTATAGTATTCTTCCTAGTAAGACCATATCTTGAGTATTGTGTTTAATTTTAGAAGCTACCTGTTAAGAGAAAGATATATAAGTTTAATATTCAGGGAAGAGTGGGATTCAGATGGATCTTGAAACAGCCAGGGGACCAGAGATATTGGTTAGAGGTCACAATAGAATGATTCCTAGAAACATTTTAACAATTTTAGTGAATATTTTAATAAACAAATTTTGATATGGAAGGGTGATTTAATTTTGGCTTTTAGAGGGAAAATGGAGTTTAAAAAATTATAACATGTTTCACATATTATTATTTATTTAAAGTTGAGAGAGAGAGAGAGAATGAGCAGGGGAAGGGCAGAAAGAGGGAGAAAGACAGAATCCCAAGCAGGCTCTGCACTATCAGTGCAGAGCCTGACCTGGAACTCCAACCCACAAACTGTGAGATCATGACCTAAGCCAAAATCAAGAAGTCAGATGCTTAACTGAGCCACCCAGGCACCCCTACACACTTAATTAAGTTTTTGACTTTTCTACAAGACATAAAATATAAATACACACACCTTTCTGTGTAATAGATGCATATATGATGTGTGTATGTCTATAACAATTTAATATGTGTGTGTGTGTGTGTGTGTGTGTGTGTATTTATGTGAGTATGTGAGAAAAGGCAAGAAACAAAGAAGTGTTGGAGGAATAGTGAGGCAGAAAAAATATTTGGCCCAGAACACTCATTAATAAAAGACTTCAAATTTACACTTTTGCACTATATCAATTTATGTTTGTGTGTGTGTGTTTGTATATGTATATAACTATACACACACACACACATTATTCACACACACACACACACACACACACACATATATATATATATAAAATATACAAATAAATATAAATTAAAAATACCCTGGACTATACATATTCTACATGACCAAAGGACATAACTAAGACTAGAGAACTGAAACATAGGAGTACAAATCTTAATTACGTATAAGAAAGAAATTTCTGAAAAGTAGTGTTCTTAAAACACTAAATGTGATGCTTTTATAGGGTAGTGAAATCCCTGTCACTGCAGGTATTAAAGCATAGGCTAGGTAACTTTAAGAACCTGAGTATTTCGACTATACAAGATTTAAGGTGCCCTTTACTACCAAAATTGTGTGATCTGACAAACACTTGATCTCTCTGCATCTCAATTTCTACATCTATAAAATGAGATAGTGGAATGAGACCTGTTTAAAATAAGAAACCTTTCCTACTTCTGATATTTGGTGATTTCCCTTCATGATTTTAAACTTAAATTCTAATTTAAAATCCTTATATCATTTCTGCTAACATTATGATTGTGTATTCTAAGACTGTGGACAGTGTTAATTTATTACAATGGATATTTGTAAGCACCAGAGACATAGCAGTTGCCTGAAGTTAATAACACTGGCTCTGATGAGGTTACATTCCCGAGGTAGGGATGGGGAAACAGAATGAACAAGGTAACTAAATAAAATATAGCTTATGGTAGATATAATAACTGCTAAAGAAACAATTAAACCACATTATTAAATTCAGCATTATTAAAAAGTCTTAATCAGAATAGGCACATTGTATTTTTAGAATATACAAATTTCCCTCAGTTTAAATTTATGAAAAATTCAGAAATTAATAAAAATCCTACATTAAGAATATAGTTTTATATATTATGATATAGTAGACTCTTTCACTATTTGCCTTTCTTGGCACTTGCACTCAATATAGAAGACCCCTATGGTCTGGGATATCTGTCCAGAGAACTTTGTATTACCCCTTAAATAATAAAAATGCTTAAGAAAGTGATTAAGATAGTGATATTATAGCATACCTGTATCCCAGTGTGCAAGCCTCAAAATGTTGATTATGTTCATGTGCTAACTCATGTAAGAAACTTTAGACTTGAAAGCTTGTGGTTCAGTATTTTGGCATTATTTTAAACTATTACTGCAATTATTAAAGAAATACATGTATGCCATAATTCCCTTTGGCTCCATTGATCCATTAATATGCCAACAACAAACGGATTACAATAGATAGATGCAAATAGATATCCTTGATTTGAGTTATCTGACTTACCTTTATCCAAAGATGTCATGCATTTTTACTTCATTTCTGAAATATATAACATCATCCTACTTCATGTTTTCTCTTGGTAGAGAATTCATATTTCTAAATATTCTTGAAGGAAAAATTTTAAAATTACAACAAAATGTCTACTCTCAATCCTTGTAAGCTGTTCCTTTATGGGCAAGAAAATGTTCAAAGTAAAAAAATCAGTGTGATAACATCATATGCAGTTTAAGAAAATGGAAAAATTGATTAAAATGATAGCCATATGGAGTAAAGATAAAATTGTTAATTACATTGTATAAAAGAACATTTGGTGAGCAGGGTTCATTTTGTCTAATGTTAAATAACCTTTAGAGATATTATTCACGGAAGAATCTCACTCTTAAACCTGATGGTGTTATGACAATCTCATCAAATATATAAGGAGGAAGTCAAAAGTAATTTGCTTTTTAAGAAAGTTGTTGACAGAAGTTCATTGTATAGAGCTAAATATTTCATTTGGAATTTGGATCATGTCCCAAAGGATACTGCCTCCACCAAAATATCGCTAAACACTGAAATTCCATATTTTTGGAATATATGAAGCAATTTTCTCCACAGTTTGGTATCAAAAGATTCAGAGATTTTGAAATCCTACAATGTTGCATGTAAAACTTGTTTTTCTCATAAATAAACGCTCATTGAACATTTCTCTATGCAAGCATACTGCTAGAAGCTGGCAATGTAAGATCCTTACCTTTAAGGAGTTTGAGTCAAGAGGTAAACTATCTACATCATAAATCAAAAAAATTGGAGCCTACTTATGCAAATTTCCCAATGAATACTACAGGCAAGAAGTGCTGTTAGGGTTCAGTGAAGAGAGAAATTATCTTGTGGTGGACAAGAAAGACTTTTTAGGGGAAGATGGAAATTTATCTGGGCTTTAAGGGAATTGTAGGATGCCCATTAAATTAGGGAGGCCTATAGACTGAATGTTTTTGTTCCCCCAAAATTTATATGTTGAAGCCTGATCCTCAGTGGGATGATATTCAGTGGTGGGACCTTTGGGAGGTGACTAAGTCATGAGGGATTAGTGCCCTTATAAAAGACTCCACAGAACTCCCTTGCCATTTTCTGCCTTGTGAGGACAGAATATCTGTGGACCTGGAAGTGGACCCTCACCAGATGCCACAACTGTCGGGACTTTGATCTTATACCTCCCATCCTCCAGAAATGTAAGAAATAATTTTGTGTTGTTTATAAGCCACCTAGTATGTAACATTCTGTTATAGCAGCCCAAACTGACTAAGAAAGGGGGAGTTTCTAGGAGAGGGTGGTGTGAAGAAAGACACAAAGGAGAGGCTGTGCATTGTGTACTGGGGAGTAGAGAACAAGAAGTGGGATAGTTTCAATGGCTATTAGGATCATAATTATGGAGAGGTGTTAAGGAATCAACTTGTGGAGTACTTTGAATTTTCTGTTGAGAGGTTCGAATTTTATTTTTTACACAAAAATGGCCATGAAGAAATCTGCATCATTAGGAAGACTTCTCTGGTGCTCCAGATAGGGTGCCCTGGAGTTGGAAGAGAACAGAAACCTTCAGGAAGATTCTGGGTGTAAGAACAGCATGGTGTGATGAGAACCCGATTTGGCATATCGCTATCAGGAATGAAGAGCAAAGGAGTGATTTGGGAGATGGTGTTAAAGGAAGAATTAATGGGGCACCTGGGTGGCTCAGTGGGTTGAGCGTCTGACTTCGGCTTGGGTCATGATCTCACAGTCCGTGGGTTCAAGCCCCGCGTCAGGCTCTGTGCTGACAGCTCAGAGCCTGGAGCCTGCTTCCAATTCTGTGTCTCCCTCTCTCTCTGACCCTCCCCCGTTCATGCTGTCTCTCTCTGTCTCAAAAATAAACATTAAAAAATTTTTTTAATTAAAAAAAATAAAAATAAAGGAAGAATTAATGAATTTAGGGACTGAGTGGCTTTGAGAATCTTACTTCACATTGTTGTTTAGGATTCCCCTGGGCCTAGCCAGATGAAGCATGAATGAGCGGTGTCCATGTCTCCTCTCCATCCGTGTCTCCAGCCAGTTAGTTCAGACGCTCAGTATCTGAGGTCTTAGGGCAATTATATGATCATTGGTTGATAATCATAATTTCAAAAGCCCCTGCGTGCTCTAAGAATCTGATTCAATGGATACTCACATTATTAAGCCTCACCTCTGTAATCAAGGCGAATTCTTCTAATGTTGAGGGAGGGAAGCAGGAAACAATACAGTGATAGACTGCGATGGCGTAATGAAAAGCTGCAAAGTGCGCCAGAGGTTTGGAGCTTAGTAGGCAGTGGGGAGCAGATGAAACAATATATATGATCAGGGACCATGTAAGTGAAAGTACATTACAAACCACAAAGCATCTCAAAAATCTACTATCAAAATCCCACAATGTAAAATTTGACTCATTGCCCCTAAATAGGGAAAGCGTTATGCATTTCCTTAAAAATTCTGAATCTTTCATCTCTCCTCTTCCTTTACTATGACTTCCTTTACTGCTCCACTACTCCTGGGAACTGGCATTGTC